ACACACACACACACACACACACACACACACACACACACACACACACAAATACATACACACGCCCGTACCTTCTTCTCTGTATAGGCTCTTAGTACCTACTTAAGAACAAAATGATGTAATTATAATGTAATCTGAGTTGGGAGGCCTGGAGGCCTAAAATACAAATCACCGATTTATTTTAAGCTCCAGCTTTCCACAAAATATATACTTTGTTTCGTAATTTTTTTAGTAAGTACCTTATTACTTTGTGGAAGGAGAAATAAACGACGATTATTATTATTATTCACCATAAGAAAAGAATTACATGAACTTTAATGTGGCTGGTAACGCAAAAGACAAAACTTTCAACGGTATACCATAATAGTGAATATTTTCTTGGAGACTGATCGTACGGTAAACAACACATGACACCTTGCTCTTTAGAAACTTCTTATCGGAAGCGACTTAAAGTTGAATTTCAATCTTATGTGTCAAGCTAGACCTGCTCTTAACACTGTATTTATTTAATTTGATCTTTATTTAACTTAGAGATAGAGATAGATATATAGAAATAGATAGACACATTTGTTTATTTAAATAATTTTTAGTAGCAGTAGAGCTACTTGTGAAAGAATTCGTCCAGGGAAATACTGCCATCTTACCTTTTTCTGCCGCCAAGCAGTAATGTCAGCATTACTGTGTTCCGGTTTTGAAGGGTAAGGGTGCTGGTGAAATCACAGGCACATGGGATTTGTCAACTTACAACTCGGGGTGACGGGCGCAGTGGCAGTGCCCCTCAGATCTTTGCGATTTAAAGTTCTGAGTGGCAATGGAACTGTTATGGACAGGCGTGTAGCTTACCATCAGACGCACGACTTGGTCGTCCCGTCACTTAATATTATAAAAAAATGAGTTTAAAATATACACAATTATTACTAACGCTATGGATCCAAAAAACAGGAATAAGTTATTATTAAATCACAACAAAACCAATTATATTTACAATTTTATTTTTAGAACTAAAGTCATACGTAATTAAAAACAAAAGAGTTTTAATAAAAAAGAGGATAATATTTAAAAAAACGCTATTTTAGTGTAGTAACTACACAAATTTACTTACATGAATAACCGCCAATAGAAGTCCCATGAACTTTGTAGACGCCATCTTGCACGTTTGTACCGGAGGCTTGCTTCCCGGCAAATGCTTTGTGCCACGGCAGTAGCCAAGAGCTTGACTGTTAGTTCTAACGGTCTTTTAGACTATACTACTACGACCCGACTACAAAAAGTCGTCGGCAATATTACGATACAACGTAATGTAACTAGTTCGTCGATACGATTAAGACACAAATTTGTATAATACATCTAATGACCGACAATGAACATCAAATAAGTAACAAAGTAATTAAAGATCAAGTACGTTTTGCAAATTAAGTAAGTACCACAATATTACTCATGCTTTAGATAGCAATTACATACCAATCAAATCAAAAAATCATTTATTGTATAGTAAAAATTTATTCTACAAGAAAATAAATTTACACTTGAAAACGTAATTTTTTAAGTTACTGCATAATCATTGTATTGGTTTCTCTGAGAAATACGAACAAGAAACTGTAGGGATTGGGTGAAATACAGTTTGAATCAAATTTGTGTGGAATCTAGAACCATGTATGTCGTCTTTCCATATGTCTTTATGTAATACGTCGTCTTCAATTTTATAATATGACTTTTCAATGAAAACACTTTTAATGTAAGTTTTAAACTTAGGAAATGAGGCTCACTTTTTTCACACAAACCACACTCACTGTATCCACACGCGAAACTGAAATTAATTAAAATTAAATTAAATTAAATTTAAATTAGGAAATTATAGATAGAATGCGACGATATCTATGTACTAGTTTGATGGAACGTTTACCGTCTTCCTTCAATCATATTTTGGAATTTAATTTAATAAATGGAGTAAAATAGAAAAGAAACAATCAAAGTGCAACCCGGGCCAATTTTCTTTTTCTTTTTTCCCCACACTAGGGAAACCCTGTATCGTCGGTGCCATGGTCACACACATGACAAACCCATTATTATATGCAAACCCACGAGGGAAACAGATACAAGCCATACACATATCCTTCCCGGCCCAGCATGGTAATCGTTTGCATGGCCACCGTTCGTTCGTTCGAAGCAGTTGAAGGTGGCTTTCGGGGTGGCTTGATGCACTGCAGCAAGAGTGTGTTGAAAAAGAAGTGAAAACAGTATGTGAAATTTGTGTTGCTCATTCATTGCTCATTGGCACCACACACAGCCGGAGTAAATCTGACCCGGACAAGCCATCCGGCTTGATATATCCATACCAGGGGGCACAGTTTGTGGGAATGACACGCCTGAGATGAGGGGAAGAGCCGCAGCCGGTGGCCAGATTGCTGCCGGTTAAGCAGTGCATGACAGACAGAACTTAGGTAGAATTGTTAGGAATGAGCGTAGGTGGTGTTGGGCTTCGTGTTACCGTAGTGTTCATTTTGGATGAGGTTGTGTTCTCGATGACATTGAAGAATAAATGGAAATTGGAAATTAAACGATATTTACGTATTTATATCGCGTATTATTATTTAATACGCGATTTATTATTATTTAATACGCGAGTAATACAATTATTTTTTCAAACAAACCACTCTGACAGGGCGAACAAGTCATACCCCTGGTAGTAAACATTATGCATCGAGTGTCATGACAGTTGCAGTGCCGCAAAAATTGCCACTGCGCCTATCACCCTGAGACATAAGTTGACAAGTCTCATATGCCTGTGATTTCACCAGCACCCTTAATCCTTCAAAATCGGAACACAGTTATGCTCGCATTACTGTTTGGCAGCAGAAATAATTGAGGTGGCAGTACTACCCTGGACGAACTCTTTCACAAGAAACTACTGATAATAAAAATGCATATAGTTAACATATTTACCAAATCATATGTAACCAAATCGTATGTAGCGGAATATTTACTTTGGTAAATTCAAAATAAGATAGTTAAATTAATAATTGTTGTAATTATAATAACAACGCTCACGCTCAACATAGCCCCAACTAGGGAAACCCTGTGTCGCTGGTACCATGGACACTCACATAAACAATCACAAATTACACCCAAACTCATGAGATAAATAAATGTAGGCCATACAAATATTTCTCACGGCACGGGAATCGAAACTGGGACCTCTGCGTGGTAGTGGAGGCATTGTAACCGTTCGGCCACAGAAGTAGTTAAAGTTCAGAATAGAGTGGTTTGTGTTAACATTAGACATGACTGGTTGATGATTAATACCATATCTGTCAGCCTTGACCAGGCGACCATAGACGTAGGTTTATTAAAAAAAAATACGTAGAACATTCGCGAAAACTTAAGGATTCGATAAAAAGTTGTAAAATAAAAAACTAATTTCAATTCAAAAGGAGCTTTAATCATTTAATGATATAGTATTTAATATATATAAAAAAATCATTACGAATATAACAATAAACATATACCTAACAATAAATATAAATTTAGGTTGTCTATGTGTGTGTCCATGGCACCCACGTCATAGGGTTTCCCTAGTGCGGGACTATATTGAGTGTGTGCGTTATTATTATTATTAATTATAAATACCTACAAGATATTGGGTCTCTATTTCAGATGGCCCCACTGTGCAAAAAGTTTAACTCGAACTTGTTTTTGAGTATCAAAAATAAGTTCCTCGACTGTTTTATAAAGATAAACTAACACCCGACACTATTGGACTTTGTAATAAGTAACCTTGAAGCTATTCAAGTGGCATTTCAATCAAATTCTGTAAAAATTTAGAGGTAACATTATGAGCTACTACACAATAAACCAGTTTTTTCAAAGATCGTAGAAGAAGATGTCAATAATACTTAAAGATCGTGATATGTAAATAAGAAAATCTATTTCGGTGCGCCTTTTAATTTATTGAACTGGTTTATATTTTTTATCATTGTATATCATTGCTTGTTTATCGCACAAGTAATTTTATATTAGAAACAAAAACGAGGAAATCGCGATAAAATAAAATAAAAAGTATTTTAAAAATCACTACACTACCTCGTCAACAAATAAAAATGTAATGCCTGAGAATTAAGCTTATTAGTTATTTTAAATAACTGTTTATTTACTTTACTATGCTTAATAATATAATAAATAACAATATATAATATATATAATTCCCTTATAACAACAATCCACTCCCTGTTTATTTTAAATTATTCAAAAATGGAGGTTCCCAATTCCAATATATATTTTTGTTGAAAACGGGGTACCTCAGTACTACCTTGTCAAACCAGTACTCGAAGTACAATGTTTTGCAATTTCCTTACAACAAAAATTTGCCGGTTGTTATCAATGCAAAACCAATTTATTAGTTTTCAATAGACATAGCTTATTTTGCAAAGTAGAATTATGATGGCTAGATAAAATTCTTTAATGTCTATTGTGTAATAATAAATAATATAATAATAATAACAAATCTCCCACTAAACATATACCACTTGTTACAGAAGGCAGCCATCCTTAATACTTGTCGCATTGTCAGAAGGTTTTTGCAAATGACACAGGACGACGTAGGCTTTTGTTACGCACCACCATCACCGTCCACATAGACATGCTACATTTGTTTGATTTCGGTCCGCAAGTGTGGTTCAAACCATCTAACAAGCTGAGAAAAATAAAAAAATTGTAATAATAACGCACACACTCAACATAGCCCCGCATTAGGGAAGTTCTGTGTCGCGGGAGCCATGGACACGCACATAGGCAACCACAAGTTACACCCAAACTCACGAGAGAAATAAATGTAGGCCATACAAATATTTCTCCTGACCCCGGAATCGAATCAGGGACTTCTGCGTGGCAGTCGATCGGCATGGTAACAGTAAAAAGTGGTACAAGTAATTAACCTGAAAAATTACAAAATACCGAAAAAAGTTTTCAGTTTTTCTTCTTCAAATATGATAAAGTTGAGAAAATAATAGAATAAGTTGGTACCAAATCCGGTACAAACTTACATTAAGTTACAAACAACTTACATACAGAAAGCAAGGTCAAGCGTCAAAGTCAAGGTACGAAAAAGCAATAGACATTTTCTACAAAGAAACAAATCAATTTTTTTATTAATAAAAATCTTTATTACATAGCATAAAGACCAAGTAAAGTGCAGGATCCAGTAATATTCACAAACGTTTTACAAAATGTTGGTGTTACTATTAAAATTGTTAATAGTTTCGATTTCATCGTAAGTGAGTTTGAAGTCAAATACATCGATGTTTTCCCGCTGACGGTTTTGGTCTGTAGATTTTGGGATCGGTATCGTGCCCCGGTCAATCTGTAAAGACGTAAATAATACTTAATATCTATATATAAGCATTTAGAATTTACTTGGGATTAAATGAAAAAAGTTTAACATGTTACCTTTAAAACTGGGAAATCAGGGATTGTCTGAGGAGTATTCGTTACAATACCGAGTGAGACCTTGTGTTATACAACTCAGGTCTTCTAGCAAACTATGCCAGACACTATGTCAACTAAGCCACGGAATTATTATAATGTATATATATTTGATATATATATATACAATTCTTGGAGGGTTAGTCCCACATAAGTCTTGAGCCTCCCTGGGCACGAGGATATGCATAAAGCATTTCTCCCCAGTATTGTTTACTTTACAAAAAATAAAGGTAAGATGGGCCAGTCTTTTCACCTGACACATGATTCTCTTTTTTCTTTTTTTTTATGAGATCCCAGGACGAACAAGTCACCCACCTTGTGGTAAGTGACACGCCTGTCCATAACTGTTGCAGTACCACACAGTGCTTTAAATCACAAAGATTTGAGGGGGCACTGCCTCTGGGCCTGTCACCCTGAGACATAAGTCGACAAGTCCCATGTGCCTGTAATTTCACCAGTACCTTAACCCTTCATAACCACAATGCAATAATGCTCACATTATAGCTTAGCAGCAGAAATAGATGAAGTGGCAGTACTTCCCTGGACGAATTCTTTCACAAGGAGCTCTGCTGCTACTAAAATTCAGGGTTTCTAATCGAATTAACGAAATGTTTCAATAATTTCCAAAATATACTACAACTTACTTACCAGATATCTTAATACGACTTGTCCAGGAGTTTTCCCATATTTTTGAGCGATCTTCATCAGGGCAGGATCATCAGCTCTCGGAGGTGCTGAGTAAGTTTGGTTTCTGGAGACGAGGAAACCGAAAGGGCTGTATGCCATCACGACGATTTGATGTTCTTGGTTATGTGCTACCAGTTGCGTTTGAGTCCGTGAAGGGTGAACCTAAAAAAAAGCATGCATCTTTTATCTTAAACACCTTTTTTTATAATATCAAGTGACGGGACAAACATGTCATGCGCTTGATGGTAAGCTACACGCCTGTCCATAACAGTTGCAGTGCCCTTCAGACCTTTAAATCGCAAAGATCTGAGGGGCACTTTCACTGTGTCGTCACCCTGAGACATAAGTTGACAAGTCCCATGTGCCAGTAATTTCACCAGTAAGTACCATTACCCTTACAAACCGGAACGCAGTAATTCTGACCTTACTGCTTGGCGGCAGAAATAGGTAAAGTGACTGTACTTCCCTGGACGAACTCTTTCACAAGGAGCTCTACTGCTATTAAACATCTACTCATAGTAAGAAATTTAAGGCAAGAATTCTAAGAACATACGTCTTACATCACACCGCACTACGCGTTTAATACAGATTAATTCAGCTAGAATTTATCTACAGAACTACCTCCAATGTTGGCCAATATCATAAGGGTGCATTCTACTTCTTTTCGTATCAATGGCGTACAGTATATTATTTTTATTTTTTTTATTGAGGGATAACTAACAATTGTACAAGGTGAGTTATACATAGTAAGAATAATCGTATAGCTAATGAATAGATTGCTTCAAAAATATAAAATTTTTAAATGAAACATTATCGCTATTGATTTAAAAAAGTACAATGCTGACATAGAAAAAAAAATTTCAGAAAGAAACGAACTTGATAACATTACAAAGTACATTTTAAAAACAGTTTCACAATCCATATCAGTGCCAAACCTAATCTTTAAGTAACCGCCTTTTAGACAGATCAAAAACATCTACTTGCAAAACAGTAGATCAATAGTAATTATAATGAAATATTCGCTTTAGAGGAGCGCCTACAGAGCGTAAGAGCAAATAATCCCTAACGACGACGACAGCTGCGCTTACGCGTATTTCTCTGCACCTACGCTCATTTCTTTCTTTGCTTTCATCACGATAATGCTTACAGTTAAAGAATTTGCCAGTCGGCATAACGTACTCGTCAATTGTTACCCAGGTTGCACCAGACGTACAGGAAGGGAATGGTACGTCGTCGTGCAGGGAAGTTTCGTGCACCTCCTTAAAGATCCATTGAAATGCCCATGATCCTCAACAGTAAGCGCCTAGTTACACGAGGAGAAAGTATTCGCGCGGCCGACGCGCAGTACCACCCAGTTACCGCGCCTTCATGTACATTAATGGCGAATCTACTTACTAGGCAACAACATTTAAATTCCTCTGTTTGTGACCAAATTCAAGTCAGACTCGCCCGCGTGCCCGGGACGCTCATTTAAGTTAAAACGTAAAACGTAAACGTAAACGTATCTTTTTAAACTAAATAAGTTCCATTTTTGTTTGTTGTAAATAATGGACACTACATTGCACACGCTTATCACTGTATATATGTATCAAATTAATTATTTAAGTATTTTATAAATATAAGAGAACACACCATACTACATTACAGAAATATATATGTAATTTATTTTAGTTTATACGCGACACACACGTCCGGTACTCACTCGGTTTTCGGGTCCACTGAAAATCAGCGTCACAGCCTTTCCCTGTGACATTAGCTCAGTCGATCCTATTACATATGCCACAGCCACACACACGACATCTCTACTTAGTACAACAATAGTGTTGACTAGCTTTGTGGTCATTTAATTACTTATTACTAAGATTTTATTTTTAATTCATTTTAGTTTTGTTTTAATATTATTTTTATTTTTTTATTTTTTTTATTTCTTACTGTGTATTATTGTGTAGTGGCATTATGTAATAAATGAATTCTATTCTATTCTAAAAGCTAAATAAATAGAGCGTGTTTTGCCATGACAGTTAGACGCACGCGGTCGCTGCGCGGAGGCAACGCGGACTCCGCTCTTCGACAGTGGTGAGGGCGATGAAATTCGTGTGGAATAAATGCGCCCTAAGGGATTTTTGAGAAATAACTCCACTAGTTTGTATGATTATTAATACAAACATCGAACCAATGGGTTTCTTGAAACCATGACCACGCTGTACCGTAGCTCTGCTCTAACCAATTAAACTACAGTAGTGCGATTCACGTTCAAGCTATCAAAATATCCTTGAAGTTTCGTAGTCGTTCGATCGAAGTCCTATCCAAAATAGGTATTCACATATCGCTTGAAGGAACGTTGCTTTGAGTAGAATCGAAACGTAACGACTAATCAACGACATCTTGAATTGTTAAATTTGACATTTAGTCGGCGAAAGTCTATTGAAAGAACTGTCAAAATTTTAGCAGAATACGTATGACGTAACGTTTAGAGCCGATTCAAGTTCGATTCATATACCAGAATACGCTTTAACGACATTTGGATCGAACGACTTTAAAACTGTACTCGTTGACGTTTACTGTCACACGAGAACACGAAAAAGCAGTTCAACGAGTAATAACGGTTTGATTACGTGAATCACCCCACAGGTCAAGTTGTCAAAATTCTCCGGATTAACCGGCGGCGAATGCCGAAAAAATCAAGTACAAAAATTTTTAACAAAAACACATAGGAGAAATTCGACAACTGGATAACTTGACCTGTAGCTGAGTTGGTTAGAGCAGCGTTACGTTACAGCGTGGTCATGGGTTCAAGTCCCATCGGTTCGAAGAATTTTTTTTGCGTATTCGATCTTTATATTAATAATCATAGTAAGGCAAGAATTGACGTTCGCGATTTAATTTATATGTATTCATCATGTGTACAAATACGAACTTAAGCAGCTTAGCAACTGATCTAAGAACTTAATGCACCTCAATTTGATTAACAGCAGGTGGAATACTGCTGTTGACTAGAAGTCTATCAATCTGTTCGATGTTAAAATTTGAGACTCCGATGGACTTTGCCAGGCCGAGTCTTTTAGCCTCCTCCATACCCTGCCAGGTTTCCAGGTAGTCGATGTTGGAGGGAGTGCCGTCAGCCTGAAAAACAGTACCTTTTTTAAAGTTTTAGAAAACGTCTACAATCCAGATAAAATAATTAATAGATTCAGGCTTTACATTACGGAAATCCATGTTAATAAAAATGGAAATAAATTAATTTCTCTCTCTCTCTCCACGCATAAAATTAATAAAATATATAACACAAACGCAACTACAGTTATAAATACCATCACCAAAAACATGCCAAAGTGTATCGCCTCTCTCCAATGCACCCTCAAGGGCTGATAATTGTTCGACGCGTCCATGAAAAAAAAATCAATACAAGCGCAACTATTTTGCACGAGTTAACCTTCGCTGGGTTCACGGAATAGCAACTTAATTTAATTCCATTTTTATCCAGGTAAAATTCTAGTAAGATCCATCGATGCTTACTTTTTCACTGGTTGGTAATATTAAATTTTTTTCGATTTGCAAAAAGCTCATAATCAAAACACCTTTTTATCTCTTCTTAATACACGCACAATTGTATGAAGCTTATAAAATACTTTCAAGTAATAACGTACCGTTGCAGACTCAGGAGAATGTATAAGATAGAGATCGACATAATCCAGCCCAAGACGACTCAAAGATTCCCGAAGTGCGGGCACCACCTGATCCTTTGCATGCTTATCGTCCCACAACTGCAAGAGAAACCAAACAACTACAACTACCTAAATAGGCGAATGCATGTATAATGGGACTAAATACAGCTTTGAGCAGGACAATCCCGCTTTTAAGTTTAGTATCCCGCTGTCCCAAAAATACTTAAAAATGTCCCGCTTTGAAATACAGCACACACGTGACAATACATCGGGGATAGTGCAATTACAGGTACCTGGCATTTGAATATGAGTTTCCGTTTTGTTAATTTTGTGGCCAAATGTCGTGGCAACCAAAGTAACTTGCCTAAAATGATATAAGGGAATCTATTGTTACCAGTCCGTAGGCAACATGAATTAATGCTTACTGTGCAAAAATGAAAGTTGTAGCCAATTTAAATAAAAAATAATAAAGTTTATTCCCTAAGGATTTGACATTTCGGTTATTTCAGCGACTACAACAGAATTGTATCAATTTCTAGCCAAATTCGTATATTCTCATACAGATTGGTTGCTTTCTATTCAAACATACATACATCCGTTCCAGTTTTGAAGGATATGGGTATTGGTGAAACTATAGGCTTGAAACTCAGGGTGAATGACAGACGGAGCAGCTCAGATCTTTGGGAGTTTCTGATCTGTGAGTGGCACTGCAACTGCCATGGATAGGCGTGTTACTTACCACCAGGCGCATGACCTTTTCATCCCGTTACTTGATATCATAAAAAAAAATACAACATCAAGTAAAAAGTCTTAGCCAGCACGGGAGCCGTAAAGGCTACACGTGGAGCATACCATAATATTAATTTAGAAATAAGCTAATCATGATGTTAATATAAATCCTATCATCGTCGTCGTTATTTATATACATATCTATATTCAATGCTTAATTGAACGATCCTTGAAATGACGCCAGCTCTTTCTTCAGCCGGACTTAGAGCATTAGAGATTTTTTAAATGTTTCATATACGTTATTTGAAACGGAATTATTAGAGGCGAAGCTGCAGAGCCTTGAAAACCGCCGTAAAGTTGCCTGTTTATCGATATTTTTCTGGATATATTACGGAGTGTACGATGGAATTACACGATTTAATTCCGCCTTCCCCTTTTCATCATTGGGTGACCAGACGTAGGCTTGGATTCCATCCCTATATTGTGGATGTTCCAAAGATTCGCACGAAGCGTTACGCTTTCACATTCATATGGCGAACGGTTATGGAGTGGAAGTCTCTGCCTGTAGACTTGATCCCTGAACGTTATACCTTGGATTTTTTCAAAGCGAGAGTCAATAGGCATTATTTAGGTGTACATGCTACATCCTCGACCACATCGTCACTTTCCATCAGATAAGATGGAGATCAAATGCGCACCTTTGTTTTATATAAAATATGTTGAACCATCTACATTAGTTGCTCTGTGGATAAATTATAAATCATTATGTTTAAACATACTAAATTAATATTTGGTATTCAAAAATAAAATTAGAGCCTCTTTTTTTGTTATTCGTATTTCTTTTAACGATTGATGACATTTATAACCAGTGTATCTTTTGATATTGACCTCGTAACAAATCTTGGCACACAAGCAAGTGTGTATATGAAAAAACAGCCAGAAGCCAATTTGCTTGAGTTTCCGAACATGCTTTCAGGTCAAATTAATTAATATAATATTAGTATATAAATTACAAATAATATATATATAATACCATTACAATTAATATAATATTAGTATATAAATATAATCAACATTTACTTAATTTTAAAAATAGGTATCTAAATTTTATTTGCAATGTTCTTTTGTCTTAGTTTTGAGGCTCAACACGAAACTATGAAAGTTAATTTATACAAATTCACATTGACTTAATTTATTTTATGTCTCAGAGAAAGAGGATCTATCATTAACAAAGATCACCGGTTAGATTTTTTGCCCACTTTGCAAATTTAAAATGATCCTTTAAATATATGCCTATGGGAAGTGTCCAGTCCTCACCTTAGTCGTCACAAATAGGTCCTCTCTCTTCACAAGGCTCTTGTTAACTACATCAGCTATACCCTGCCCAATCTCAACTTCATTGCCGTAGATAGATGCTGTGTCGATGTGACGGTACCCTGCTTCTACAGCCCAGTTGATCGCTTGTCGCATTTTTGCTCTGTCGTTAGCCTAGGAAACGACATAAAGATTAACTTCATCCTCATTACATAACTTGTTGCTGAGTCAATGAATATGTTTCAATATTTTCAGATTCCATTCATAAGTTTACTCGTCTATTGTCATTTTGTATTCTAGCATAATTGCTAGAATACAAAATGACAATAGACGAGTAAACTTATTACAATCAAAGACTTCAATCAACTGTAGACAAGAACATTCACAGAAACTATAATGGTCACCTACACAAATTAATAAAAAAACACGCAACATTGCTTACCGAATCAATGGGAATAATTTTATAATTATGTTCTTATAATTAGCCAAATAGCGAAATGTCAACAACACACCAATGTAAATTAATTTTCAAAGTGGACAACCAACTGTGAAGTGTTGTGCTGGAACTTTTTTTTATAATATCAAGTGACGGGACGAACAAGGTCATGCGCCTGACGATAAGCTACACGCCTGTCCATAACAGTTGCAGTGCCACTCAGAGTCTCAAATCGCACTGCGCCCGTCACCCTAAGACATAAGTTGACAAGTCCCATGTGCCTGCAATTTCACCAGCACCCTTACCCTGCAAAACCGGAACACAGTAATGCTAACAACAGCTTAGCGGCAGAAATAGGTAAAGTGGCAGTACTTCCCTGGACGAACCCTTTCACAAGGAGCTCTACTGCTTACAAAACTGCTCTTCAGTGAGACACAGCGTGTGTATGGAACGCCGCATCCAGTACGCTAGCTAGTACATAGATATTGTTGATTTCAATATTTATTTGATAATAGATAATCAATTATCACATTGTTTTACTACCAGCCGTTTAAACTTAAAAACAATGATAGGCATATAGAGGAACTCGTAAGGTCAGTTGGGAGAGCGGTAGCCTCGGTCTGGCAAACAATTGCTTGTTCGAATCCATCCGGATCAAAGGAATTTTTCTTAGTATGTGTTCGATCTTTGTATCAATATTAACAGGTAAAGTTTTTTCTTCATTGGCTTTGTGTAATAACTCACCGATCCATAAGTTCCTAATGCTAAAATAGGAATTTGGTTTCCGTCATTCAATGCAATCTTCGGAACCTCAACACTGCTCATTGTGACCTGAAAAAATTCACACTAGTTGTTATCAAATCTAAAATATCTAAAGTCAGCCGCGGCCTGTAAAGAATCCGAAATGTTGGTTTCATCATCATCAATCCATTTATACGTCTCACTGCTGGGCATGGGTCTCCTCTTAGGTGAGGATTTTGCCTCGCTAGCCCCATGCGGATTGGGGACGTCACACGTTTTCCGAGTGTTGTGAACGGTCTTCAACGTGCAGATTTCATCACGATGTTTTCATTCACCGGAAAGCTCATGGTAAATTTCAGTTTAAATTTCGTACCGAATCCACGGCCTCTGCTTGAAAGGCGGGTGGGTGAAACCATTAGGCTACCACTGCATTTTTTTAAATGTTAGTTTAATACACGTCAGAGACAGTAATGAGTACGGACACTAAACGGAACGCAAGCGCGCCAACTAGCGGTGCAGTCCGCACAACTACGTTTCCCGCGCTTCGACAGAGTCGTGACATTATTGGCAAGCACGATCGGACACACTCTCCTATCGGGTCGTGACATAGTGTTGACGTCGTCACGGACTGTCCTCCGTTTCGCTTAGTGCCCGATTTGATCGTTAAAAGTAATAGAAAGTACAAGTTGTTGTTCGATTTCAAAGTGATTAAAATATACAGTGTTACTTTAAATGTCGCATTGCACGATACCTAAATCTGCCCAAATTATGTCCGGAAATTGAGTTCTAAGCCATGAAGGTATCGACAAATATGTATATAAATATATACACACATTATATGTGATTTTAGATTAGGGAAAAAATATTTATGTTTTGCTTGTCATACATAAAGGTTATCCGTTTGATTATTCAACACTCAAAATAGAATGTCGAGAGCAGGTAAAATGTACTTTAAATGTAATTATTAATACAAAGATCGAACACTCTGAAAAATTCCTTCGAGCCGTCCCAATTCGCACCGACGTCATCTAGCATACCGTGTTTTTCTTCTTGCTACGACTAAAAAGTCGTTGAAAAACCAAATACAAAAAATTCGTGAGGTCCGCTGGTTCGTTCCGTGACTTAGTTGGTATAGCGTCTGACACGGTATGCTAGAAGACGTCGGTTCGAATCCGACGGATCGAAGGAATTTTTTCAGAGTGTTCGATCTTTGTGTTAATAATATAACAAACTAATGGAGTAATTTCCCAAAAAATAATTGAATAACAATTCACTAAAATTTAAAGTATTTTAAACGTGTTAAAGGAAAGAACAGCGCCGCAACCGACGACTGTGTCCTGTTGGCGCAACCGGCGTCTGTGTTGATTTCATATCAATTGATATAATAATAATAATAACGCACACACTCAACATAGCCCCGCACTAGGGAAACCCTGTGTCGCGGGTGCCATGGACACATACATACACAACCACAAATTAACACCCAAACTCACGAGAGAAATAAATGTAGGCCATACAAATATTTCTCCCGGCCCGGGAATCGAACCTGGGACCTCTGCATGGCAGTCCGGCATGGTAACCGTTCGGCCACGGAGGCAGTCAAATGTTGATTTCATATCAATTGATACAAAAAAGAATATTCACTTCCAGGTGCCGGTGGCTTATTCAAATTCTTATCCAAAACAAGACACATTTGCGCGGCGCCCAAAGCTCGGAGTAGCACTGCAACTGTTATGGATAGGCGTGTTGCTTACCACCAGGCGCACGGCTTTTTCACTCCGTCACTTGGTTTCATTAGTCTAGTCAGTACCACCGAGAGGAATTAAGACCAGTGCGACGAGGACGGCTTCAAAAAGGTCGAAAAGAAAAGAAGTACACTAGCCGTAACCTTAGTGGCACCGGCTCCACTGGCACCAACCATCTATTGCGTCCAGCGTTACCGACGACGTTGCTATACGTGTCACGACTTCATTACTCCACAAAGTCTGTGGATATTGTGGAGTATATACAGGTGAAAGCCAATGCTGCCCTGAGGGTCGAGCAATTGGAATCCCGTCACAATGTGAATTTTAATTCATTTGTGGTGAGAGTACCAAGTCAACATCTGTCGACCTTCATGATGGACTTTTGGCCGAAGAGTGTCATGTTCCGGCGTTTCCTAGGACGGCTATCGGACACACATACGTTGCGTCACACGTCCGGTCAATACGAATAAATAAATAAATAGTTTTTATTATATTATTATGTATGTTAGTCTATAAGGTATGTGTTTATGGGTCTTTTGTAACCTGAAAATAAATTAACTAAAAAATTTTCAAAACCCTGATAATCACTTATCTATGTAGTAATGAATTAACTAAAAAGACATTCTTACAAAGGTAATAATATACCAAAAAAATATTATTTAACTGTATAATTATGTTAAAAATTAGTAGTCTAAAGCAAATTATGCTTTGCACTTTGGACCTTGTTACTTGTAATCAAGAGGCATATCGAGATAAATTCCAATCATAAAAGTCAAACTTGACGTGCTCTTGACCCTGTACCAGTTTAATTTGATCTTGATGTAACTGTAAACGTTTATTTGCTTAAATTTAAAATACGCGTAATAATTATTTAAGTAACATTGTTAGTAACACTAAATCCAAGACTCCGATACAAGTTAATATTACGAAATCACAATAACGCTTCTATAATTACATAGCGAACAGCTATGGAGTGGAAATCCCTGCCAGCAGACTTATTCCCTGAACGGTATAACTTGGCCTTTTCTAATACAAGAGTGAATTGGCATTATTTAGGTGTCACTTTTCATCAGGTGAGATGGAGGTCAAATGCGCACATATTAAAAACAAAATTGAAAAAACAACGATTTTTTCGGATCTAAATCGCGTAAACTTATTTGTTTATTGAGCCTAAAACATTTGTTTGTTTGGAAAAAAACAAATACATTTAAATCCGAAAAAATTGTTTCGTTTTCTAAATAAAATATATGTATTTTTATCAATTAGGCACTTCGGAAAAGAAACATCTTTTTTTCGCATCTTAATCACGTCAATCATTCGGTGAGCCGTGACCAAGAAATCCGTACAGAGCCCGAAAGAGAGAAGCCAACGTTGTTTGAAAAAAAAAACAAAATACGCGATTTTGATCCCAAAATATTAATTTGCAATCAAAAGGTATTTTTTTAAATCTTTTAACGAGATCAGGGACAGAGAGTTTAATACAAATGAAGATGATATTAAAAAAAATAATACTTGCATATATTTAAAAGATAAATAATTAAACTTACATGAACAACAGCCAAAATAATTACCATGACCTTTGTAGACGCCATTTTGCACGTTTGTGCCGGAGGTCGATCTTCCGACAAATGCTAGACTACTACGTCTCGCGGTTATGTAACTCAGACATCGGTTTTGCTGAGTTTTTACAATAGATGATCACTATTGGCATGATTTGACTCTTGTGTTTTATACCGATATACATAAATAAATACACACAAAACTATTTTTTTGTGCAGTCATCTAATAGTTTTAATAAACACTTACCGATAATTAACAAAATTCCGACTAATGAATACACTCAAACTACTCAAAGTCTTAACGATTTTTGTAAGAACACCAACGCACCTCGGATCACCTGTTTGTAAAAACAGTCACTACATTGGAAAAAATATTGAGTGAATCGATTAAAGCTTCTAACGGAATGCATATTATATCACATTAGTAGTACATTTAACACGGTTTTGTTGTTATATCAATATCTGTTCTTATTTTTTTTTAATGTAGAAGTGTCATAAATTGGGACAGTGTCAAAGATTGGTACACTTACTTTATCAGTGTAGCACAATACAAAAACACAAGTGAGGTTAAGGTGAATTGTCAACAATAACAAACGCTGAAAATCGATAAACTATTTATAAGCAAGGCAGACTCATTTGCGCGATACCTTGACCTACAACTTATTTCGTCAAACATACTCGGAAATGTTTGCTTCACTTACAAAAAAATCATTTTGTTTACTTTTTCTATTACACATCTTCTTGAAATGAATGAATGAATGAAAAATATTAATACGTCTTTACTGCACATAAAAGTACAGTTAAAATACAATAAAGTAACTTATGTTTAAAAGATAGTAAGATAATGTGCAACAGGCCGCCTTATTGCTATGTAGCAATTTCTTCCAGGCAACCTTAGGATATGTAAAAGGGGTGCAACCGTAGAATATCATTATAAGTACAATCACTACGTTTCATTATTAATAAACTCATATGCGTAGATAGAAATTTCCATACAAATATTATTAATACATAACAATAATAAAAATAAAATAAAAATAAAATACATAATATTAAATGCTTATATGTATACTTTAAAAGGAAAAAGAAAAATGAATTAATAAGTATAGAAAATAAATTAAAAAAGAGTGCAGAAAAAGACAAAACTTAGGAGTTGAGGAAGTGATCCTTGACACGTCGTTTGAAAGAATCAAGAGAAGGGGAACCTTAAATCGATTCTGGGAGAGAATTCCGTAGTTTGCTCGCAGAAACGGCAAGAGTTAAAATAAAAATTAGAGGTATATTCTGTAAGAGAGTATCAGAGAAGCGAAGAGGACGGCAGAGTATAGAAGAGTGGAAAGTAAAGCGATCTTTGAGATAAGAAGGCGTAAAGGGACAGAATAGAATTGAGTAAAGAAGGGAAAGAATATGAAGGTCTCTAAGTTGGTGGGTGGTAGCCATTTAAGTTGTGCATGAAATTGGGAGACGTGGTCAAATTTACGAAGTCCGAAGATGAACCTCACACACGTATTAATAATAATAATATCATATCATCAGCGTAGTACAGTATCGGATGGAGAATGCTCTGGGCCAAAGTAATTTTAGTTTTAGTGGGCGCTCTTCTCTTTAGTCTTGTATTATTTCCTCACATTGATTGAGAAAATCACTATATATGCCTCGGCGGAAACGGAGATTGGTTGCCTCGTATTAATACAAGGCTACGCTTGCGCCCCACCTTGTAATTCATACTCGTCCAGCAATCCCTTATTTCCCGGCCTCTTCAATA